GGGATGGGGAATCCACAATTTCTCTGGGCAACCTGTTCTAACAAGCTTTGTTCAGCCCAAAATCATCATTAACACACATAATTATTCAAAGCAGGAGGGCAGCTCCATGCCCTGCCTTTAATTAAGCCAGCTTCCAAATGGCAGCTGGTGAGCTCCATGCCAAGCAAATGCCAACTTCCATGGATCCAGAGCTGCCCTATCCATCCCTGGGCGTGCAGCCAGGTTGTGGGGCTGGCTCTGGGGCATCCTCACTCATGAGGATGAGGAGTGACCCTGGCAGCTGCTCTTTGCCAGAGGGATGAACACATCACCTCCCACAGCTCCATTCCTGAGGATGTGTTTCAGATGCTCATCAGCTGCAGGGACAATGCTGCAGAATTCCCATTTTTTTTTTCCCTCCACAGACTGGGGATGAGCTCTGAGGGAGAGGAGATAAATAAATAAAATAAATCCAAGCTCAGCCTGGACTGGGGCTGCCCAAGCTCCACATTAAGGCACCTCTAGCACTCACAGCTCCTTCCCCAAGGGATCACATTCCAGCATCCCAAGGGTGAGGTTTGCTGGTGCCTCAGGGCTCTGCTGACCTTCCCTGAAGCACAGCAAGGAGGAGAGGGCCCAAGCTGGATGCCACAAGGATTTATTTGGATGCCACAAGGATTATTTTTATTTATTTATTTGAAGCTGGCTGCTCCTTCACGCTGAATCCTGCAGGTCCAGGATTTCACTGGCAGAGCAGCTCGGGAAGAGAGATTTTATTCTTGGATGAATGTGCTCAAGTGCTCACAGAAGATTTTTTTATTTTCTACTCGTGGAAGAGCTTTAAAAAGCTGTGTACAGCCCTCCACTGGCGCTGAACAAAGCTGTGCAGCTCTGTGGAGTGTTACAGAGAGGATGAGCTGTGAGGATGAGCTTGGCAGCTGCAGCCCGATGGGAAAAGCTGCAATAAACAGGGATGAATGTTGTATATGTGGGGTTCCAAGATGAAGGAAGGAATGAGGAATCTGACTCCATGTTCTTAGAGGGCTAATTTATTATTTTATGATATAATATATCATAAAATAATATATATTTTATATAAATTAAAAAAATATATATTATATAATAATATACACAATATTTTATTTTAATGTATACATAATATATAATTACATACAATGCATAATATATTATTATATTCCTTCCCAGATGAAGGAAGGAATGATGAATTTGACTCCATGTTCTTAGAAGGCTAATTTATTATTTTATGATATAATNGCAGACCCCTGGCTTTCCAAACCCGGGCAGGAAGGCACTGGAAGGATCCTTACCTTTCATCTGCACGAAGTCCAGCTGGTGGATGGACTGGAGCAGAGGGGCATTGTCCAGGTTCAGGTCGAAGTCCGTGGTCATGCGGGGGGTGAGCGTCCCCTTGCCCCACTGATCCTCGGTCATGTGCACCCTCCTGATGAGAGCATCTGAGATCTGCAGGGCAGGAGCAGCCTCAGCTGCCGTGGGGGTGTCCCATGCCTTGTCCCCACCCTGCTGTCCCCGTCCCTCTGCCTCCCAGGCTGAAGGCTGGGATGTCACACGAGGTTTCCAGCATCACTCTTCCCTGCAGGCTGGGCTGGAGGAGGGAACCCTGGAGCGCTGGGTGCTATTTAATGGCAGGGTTTAGTGCTAAAGTGTTGGAAAACCCCAGTTTTAAAGATATGGGGTAACTGAGAGGCGTTTTACAAGATTTTATCCCCTTATCAGTCTCACAGAAGGGTGAGACACAAGAGATGTAAAACTCAACGCCATTCCATCAGAAGCCAACGAATTGCCTTATAAATGTTTTTCAGCCTATCAGCTTTTGCCTCACAACGCTGCTAATACTTCACCCCAATCACCTAATTATTTTTCCCCACAATGCATCTCTCACACTTCTAATTCTCTAAAATATCTGGTCTTTTTGCAAGGCCATAGTTTGAAACTTGTCTCTAGTTCAGTCTCAGCAATGTCATCTCTACTCCATGGCTTTCTTAAGCCAGCACACCTCATCTCAGATTTGCACACAGGTGTACAAGGCTGTGTGAGCTTTCTGTCAGCTTTTGAGAACCCTTTACAGATCCTTTTTTCACAGCAAAGGGAGCCCAGGAATGCCTGGTGTGTTGGTGTCTCAGTGGAGAGCCAGGAGCACGGTGTGATCCCTGCTCCAGAGATGCACCATCCACGCCCTGCTCCATTCTCCTTGAGAGGAATAGTGGATTTGTCTTTCCAAACAAACTGTGGGTCTGCTGGTAGATAAAACCAGCACTGGGAGATAAAAGAAACAATGGGAAGGATTCCACTGATTGCTGAATGGAAAAATATATTTGCCTTTAGAAATAAACTTTAAGTTTGCTGATAAATGAAATTACACATTGAAAGATGAAAGAAACAATGGGGAAGAAAACCCCTTAAATTATGTAAGAATTAAAAATTAAAAGGGAGGGTTGTACATTAGAGGAGAATCTCTGGTATCAGGTGTTTTGGGAAGTCTGTACCTCAGAAATGGGGAAAGACAGAAGGAAAATGCAGCCAGGAAACTGGGATAAAAACGAGGCTGTATCCTCCAAAAATGTGAGGGATCCTAGGGGAAT